AGAGCTAAGAACAGGCCTGCCTGGGAGCTGCTCTGATGCCAGAAGCCTTAAAACATGGGTGCTCTGAGTACCACCCTGGACATGTGAAACCTTGTGGTCATGATTCCCCATAACTGAGCGTTCCATTAAGGAGGCAACTAGGACAGCTGTGGTCTTCTTCACAAAGGGCCTGTCATCAACAGTGGCTAAGGCTTTGGGCCCCTTCCTGATCCTACATTTGGCTTTGTTCCTTGGAGCTGCCTATTCTTGGGTCCCAGTGCCCTTTGACGTCATGGCCTTGGGCTTCTGGTCTTGTACTCCATTGCCTCTGGGCACCTCACTTTGGCACACAGACTCTAAGTTTCAGAATGGTGAGGAATACCTCATTTTCCCTTTGTCACGGAGGAACTGTGTGTGGTCCCAACAAGTGTCTGTTTGGCTTTATGGCTCCAACTTAAAAAATACCATATAGTGTTTTACTTTTAATAAGCTGAGGTCTATACAACTGCTCCATAGTGTGGGAAATATCCCCATTACCTTGTGGGTATTTCTAGTTCAGGAGGTCTTTGAATAGCGTTAGCACAATGTACATGGTAATTTTAATCAACACTTTGTTCAAGAGAGAATTTCAGGCAGACACCTGGTATAGACAGGGTCCAATAAATATTTCTTATATTTCATGGAGTTTAATTTCTATCTGGGGAAGATTATGCCTGCAGAATGTGGGCCCAGTGTGCAAGCCTGTCCTGTGTGGCGTGTGGGTCTCCAGTGAGCGAAGAGAGGCCTGTCCTAGGAGAGGGACCCAGCATGCCCCAGCTCAGGCTGCACAAGGCTGCTGGGGGCAGAGGAGGAAGCACAGGAGCAGTGTGTTTTCTCTTTAGGCTGAAGACATGAGGCAAGTTGTTTCAGATCTCAGAGGCTCAATTTATTTTCTCATTTGTCCAATGGAGGAGACAATAATACCTGACTTGCCTATTTCAGAGTTGTTTTGAGTCTAAAAGAAAATCAATACATATGGAACTTTAAAAAAAAATAAACAATATTCTAAATATAAGATACTAGCTATGCTGTGTTCCCCTTCACACTGAGAGATAAGACAAACCTAGAGTTTCCTCCCACGCCCCCACCTGGGGAGCAGGAGGGTTGCTTGCTGAGGGTCCCTTTGTGGGACAGGTGTGAAGTTTTCTTTCTGATGCTGTTGTAAGTTGTCTACATTCAGAAGGGGCCAAAAGAAGAGCTTTGTGAATTTGGACATATGAAGGCTTCTATTTGGTCCCAAATGCTTGGCAGCCCTATTACGAAACGAAAACGTTAAAAAAAAAAAAAAAAGCCCGGATGATCTCATAGGTCTTTTCTACCTCTGAAACAGATGGTGTGATTCACATACATGTGACATAAATGTACCAGGTTGTAATGATTTGCCTCGTTATGCTCAGCTGAATAGGGGCTTAACCAGCAACAATATGCTGAGAATGTAAAGCATGACCTCTGATTAAAACAGAAGGTAAGAGTAGGTTGTTTCACGGTTAAAGCAATGAACTATGACTCAAGGCTCTGAGTTTCTAATCACAGATCTGTAACCTTGTGTGTGACACTGGGAGGCTTGCTAGAGACCTTTAAGAGTACCCTTAATTTGTATGTGCTGATCACCCATTCTTAAAAGCACTGTAATAAGTCTTTCCTTTGAGAACAGTGTGGGTGGTAATTAATGGTTAATAATACTGAAGAGAAAACCATCAATAAAGACTGCCAAATGTCCATGATGCCTTAGGAAGTATTCAGAGTATTATTTAGAGATGCTAAAAAAAATGCAGATCCCAGTTTCCAGATCTGTCTGCTGCTTTCCCCCTTCAAGTCAGCCATCTACCCTGTTCAGCACTACCCAAGACACTTTCTGTGACGATGGAAATATTTTCTCTTTACTCTGTCCAAAGGCAGCTACCACTCCTGGCTATTGGCAATTGAAATATAACTACCGAGGCTTAGGAACTAAATTTAACACTTGATTTAATTTTAATTTATTGAAATGTATATGTAAATCGCCATACGTGACTAGTGGCTATCACATTGGATAATTCTAACCCCCTCAAAGCAAATGCATGAAGGTGAGGCTAGGAAAGCAGAAGAAAGTAATTAGCTTTTCTGTTCAAAACAGCTTTTTTCCCCCGTCTTATTTTCTTCAAGCTGAAGGGAGGAGTAGCTGAAATCAGGGTTTTAAGCAAGATATTACCAAAAAATAAGAACAGTTTCCCTACCCTTTTGTACGATTTCCCTCTTTTTTTTATGGGTATTAAAATGAGACATCTAAACTCATGAACTAAAAGCTAAGCTAGATTAGCTAGATTGCTTTATTCCAAAGCAAAACTCTTCTACACAAGCCTGAGGAGATAACCAGAAAGATAAGGTTCAAGAGAAACCTGAGCCTCACTCTGTTCTATTCTCCGATTGCCTCTGAGGAGACAGACCCACAGGAAGGCGCACAAGCACACATTTTGCTCTGGGTTGTTCTTTGTCTGCTACCCAGCCCCACATACCTCTGTAGCTCCATTTCCACTCCCCTCCCCTACTAGACACATCAACTGATAACCAACGAGTCAAAATCATAGGCGAAGTGCTATCTCTCGTTCCCTCCAGACATAGGGTGCCTATGTTTTTGCCCCTTTCATGTAAATTCTGTGGCAAGAAACTTGGCAGTACAAAACACGCAAAGCCCTGAGATCTTACCTTCCCGCCTTCCAGCAGCATTCCCGTGAGAGGGATGTGAATAAACAGTGGCGGTTCTCCTCCTTAATGTGTCCTCACCCTTGAAGTGAACTTATGCAAACTCCACATGGTGTAAAGAATTTACTCTTCCTGCACTTAGTTTATTATTGCCCTGTCTTTTGTATCAATTTTCTTCCTAAATGGTGCATTTTGCAAGTATTCTAAACTCGAATCATGAAACAAGGGTTCTATCCCTGTCATTCTCCTAGTGCAGTGCCCAGTATGGAATCAGATGCAATTAGGGGTTTAATCAATGCTTCTTGATAATGGATAAAAAGACTATTAGACTAAGTGGGATTTTTACAGGGCTGGGATTTTAAAGTACTTCTGTAGTTCATCATATTCCAGGAAGCAATGTATCTTTTGCCCTTGGGAGGATTTGTTGAGGGCAGTGGGTTAGGCTTGGTTCTTTCCTGGAAGGACTTCAGAACACATAATGTATTTTTCAGGTTGATGTCATAATTAGCCGAAGGTTAGGAAAACAGCCCTGAATTCAGCCAGCAGTTACATGATTGGCATGGGAGGAAGAAAGAAGGCATGAAAAATACATTGTCGGTCACCGTTGTCTCAATGGTGAAACGGAAAAGGAATAAAAATCCTTTTCATGAAATAGTCACAGCGTCCTGCTAAAGACCCGTAAATATGACTACCAAGCCTATGAGAGGAACTTCAGTTTATTCAAGTTGGGAACTAGGTGAAAGGAAAATACGAGATGAAGAGCAGCTCATCACAGCTGCACTTTTACTAGCCTCCACCATCTCCTAGTGTTTCTCCTTTCATGCATATTTTCTGAGATTATTCTGAAATAGAAAACCATTCATTCTGCTCCCGAATGCATCCTTAACTGAAACATTAAAGTGTAAATAAATAGAAATTAAATTTTTAGGTTAAACTAGCAATAAAAAAATGCTCTTACCCAAGTTAAAAAGTCTATAACAAGCAAAAAAGCAAAGCGGGTTTCTTGGATCAGCTGCATTAGCATCACCTGGGAACTTGTTAGAAATGTAAATTCTTGGACCCCACCCCAGACCTACCAGAGCAGAAACTCTGGTGGTGGGCCCCAGGAATCTGTGTTATAAAAAACAAACAAACAAAAAAAGCCTCCATGTGATTCTGCACTAACAGTTGAGTATGATTGTTTTAAACCGATGTGGAAATCATCAAAACTATTATTTTCAATGTTGTGCTAAAGTGTACTAAATGAATATTCCCTGAAATGTCAAGTCTTTCCCAATTCTATAAACAAGATCTGATCAAGCTCTAAACCAGTCCAGCCAGTAATCTCTAGTTCTGAGTTCTAACAGATCTGCATGTATGTCGTGCTACTTGGGATCTGATCAAGCCTCCCTTACACTCCTCAGAGGCTCTGGGGCACCTGCTGGGCCACCAGTGCTCATCTGTTTTATGGTGGGAGATAGAGGGGTTCAAAAAGGGGGGGATGCAAAGGAAAACAGTAATGCTGAAAATCTATGGCTTTTTCATCAATTTTAATCATTCCTTTTTTAAAGGGGAGCAAATATTTAGTACCTTTCAATCACCATTTCACAAATAATTAAAAGACAGTGCTTATAAAAATTTTTTAAATAGGGCATTTTTGCAGATAATTGCTTGTCAGCTGCACTAAGCTGTGCATCCTTCATGGTGCGTACAGGTGATGACGGAGTGCAGCATCTAGGTAATTCACTGCCAATGTGTGTCTGTATGCTTCTTTCCCAGATCCTTGACCTTCAATCAAATGCTTGTTAACCAGTCTCTTCCAGTCACAGACATTCTGGCATTACCCAATCCTTTCCTATTCTGCCATAATTACCCTCCAGATTATAAAGGGAATTACTGAGACATTTTTGTCCAAATGATTCAAAGACTTTCAAATTTCTGCTTGATAACAGTGTTTGCTCATGTAACCTAGTCTTTATGTGCCCCAAGAATATAAGGACAAAAAAAAGTCAAAGCACCAGATGCTCAATAGCATTTTATGATATTTTTCGTCACGAGAAAAACCTCCATCCTAAGAAAAATGGAAATGCGAACTCTCCTCGGTAACTTTTCTCACTTGAAATCACACTTCTCATCACGACCTATTACACCCACACAATCATGTGCCACAGGCACTGCACACTGTCTCCAACATTTCAAAGGCTCAAAAGCTATTTTTAAAGCCAAAACACAATCTAGGTTGCTATTCTATAAAGCACTTTTTTAAGGAAGAACAAAGTAATACAGAGATTTTTATGCATGTGGGCAGTTAGCCTACTCACCAAAAGACTGAATGCAGCTGTCGATGAGATCGTCCAGGCTGGCTCCTTTGGCTAAATGTCCCAGAGACACCATCATTCTGAACTGGGTGATCTGGGCCAGGCTGGGATGGGAGGGGAAGGGGCTGCCGGTTGGCTTTGCTTCTAGTTTTGCTTTAGGGGCAGTTCTGCAGCCATGAGGTTTCCTGGGGAAGAAAAGAGTCAATGAGTGCAAGCTGAGCATCCAAGGGATGAACAAACTGGCAGCTCCACACTCTGAAGGCAGACTGAAGAGGAAAGGAGTAAAGACAATTAATCCTGGGAGTTGGGCTGATAGGAGATATACCCCTCCCACTTGGCAAATGCACCAAACGGACTGGTTGGCTGTTAAAGAGATATCTCCCAAGCAAATAACAAGGTGAGATTTTAGGGGTGCAACTAGGGCTCGTTCTCCTGGGGTTAGGATTGCTTTGGCCTGCTGTCTCCATTTCCTGAAGAGGAAAGGCAGAGAGGCAGGACTATCTTGGCAGTCTTCAGCTCCTAGCAGTAATTTTAAATTTTAGGCTAAAGGCCACTGACTTGGGTCTTAAGAATTAAGTTTCAGGTCGTCTCATCTTCAGCTAAATTCATTCATCTTGAACAAGACCCAGAGATGCCGTAGGTCAGGCGGCCTTGGAAACACCTCTAAGGACTTTGTGGGGGGAAAATGGCTGAAGATCTGTGCACAGGGGTGAGTGGTATTTAGATTTTAAGATAGTCCTGCCTTTTTCACAAATCTTGGCTGGTTTTAAGATTCTGCTTTTCAGTATTGGTAGTGCAGGTAATCATTATGAGTCGTTTTTATCATTAAACAGCATTCTATTAAGCCCTTATTTGAGTCCTTACCTACTGGGAAAAGAAAGAAAGAAAATAAAAAAAAAAAAACCAGCTTATGAGAGCTTTACTTCAGAACTGAAATGCAGAAGGACAGTCCTGGATCTGAAAATGGCACAGGAGTCTATTAGGTTACCTTGGTCCACTCTCATCTAGCTTTATCTTTGGTCATGACCTTTCCGTGTAAATCATTTGCAAAATGATATATGAAGGTTAAGCATTTTGTTTTCTCTTCCATTAAAAAAGGTAATCACATGCATACACAGACATATTTCTATAATCTTTGAAGGTTTAATAGTGATGGATGTTGTTGCCCATAACTTCTTTGAGCATATAGTTAAGTCTCCTCCCCCTACTGTGTTTTGGTTATTTCATAGTTTACAAAGAGGGGGTCAAGAAAAAATAAAAAAATATACCTCGGATCCATAAGTTTAGTTACTCACTATATATTTTGACAAACACATGGTGGCATCAATTAATAAGTGCTTATTCCATGAGTAAGACACTGTGATAGGCCAGAAAAGACCAGTGATATAGTCTCTTACAAAAGGAACTTTGTAAACTGTAAAACATACTCGTTATGTTAGTTGTTGTTGTTGTTGTATAAAGGTCATCTAGAAGTTCCTTAATACAAAAATCTAGTTGGAGAACCCAGACAAGGAAAAGAGAACTCTCTAAATCTTAAATAAATGTCCTGTGAGTGTCAAAGGTAAGAAATTGTGTTGCTTTCAGAGGAGGGAAAACCAGTTCTGGGTGGAATGTTGGGGAAAGCTTCTCAAACATGATATAATCTCATGTGGAAGGGGCTTAAGAAATAATGATGTCGGAATAAAATGCTGGGGCACACGTGGAATTTGGGGAACCAGCCTGTGAAAAGACTACCAAGCTATGGGGTGACTCAGTACACAGCCAGACTTGTAGACAGAACGACTTGCCCTTCGTGTTTCATTTCAAACTATCTCCAGGGCGCTGGGCTGGCAGTAGCTGCTGGGCTCTGTTCGGACCTCGGGTGGGCCCAGTGAAATCAAATCAGCAATTAGCTGCTGGGAATCTGCTAACCCAAGGCAGTAATTTCTGAAAGATCAGGTTGGTGTTACAGGATTTGATTAAATTTCTTTTGGCCATTACTGATTTTCACCCAGGCCCTGTGATAGCCCCAGGATCATACCAGTATCTGAAAATGAGAGAAAATAATAATGGCCACCATGAATTGAGTACCTATGACATGGCAGGCACTGTTATGGATTTACAGGGTCTTTAAAACTTATGACCCAGAAAGATATCTTTATTTCATGATGCTGAAGAAACTGAGACTAAAAGAGGCTAACTGGCATAGCCAAGACTGTACAAGTCATATGGGCTACATCTGGGATATGCACTGGGCATCTCTCTATTTGTTTAATAAATATTTACTGGACCTGGAATTGTGCACCTTTCTCGACATCAGAATTAGCAAGAGAGGCTGAAAAGGTCAACTTACAAATAACATCCTCCAAAAGCACAGCTGATAACAAGGGCTGAATCCCGGGCCCTACTTTTTCTGCAGGCCTCTGGAACAGTCCTCAGACCCCAGAGCTGAATGGACTCTTCATGGTCATTTTCCAAGCCCTTCACCTAAATGTGTGGAACGCTAGGCTCAGAAGGGCCATGTGACCAGCCACAGGTGCCCAGACAGGTAGAGACCAGGCCTCCTGTGACTACGCAATGCTCCCCAGCTGGGCTCCCTCCCCTTCCAGGAAGCACTGACAACTCCCTAAACTCGGGGCTGGTTGTCAGGTGTTGGGATTAATCAGCTTTCTGCCTTGCTTACCTTCTGCCTTCTTACCGTTAAGACCTCCACTCAAGGCAGAGTTGGGAAAAGAAAATAATGTCCTCTGTACAAGTCTCTTTTTCTCTCATGCCTTCCACACCATTTCTTCCTGGTCCCTGGAGAAAAGGCACCTGCAACTAGAGGCTGGGCTTACACACACAGCTCTTCCTGCTGGGGCCGGGAGGTGTCTACCTCAGTCTTTCAGCTGGTGGGTCCAAGGAAAATTCCATTTTCTTTCTCAGTTGGTGGCACTGACCGTTGAGGACTCTGAAAACTGCCTTGGTTCTAATTCTGGTGATGGTTCTTAGTGTTAGTAGTAGGGCAAACCACTGGTTCACAAGGTGAGATGCTTTTACCAAAACTAGGAGGGACTTGGGTAGATTCAAGGAGAAAGATCTTGAAGGGAGTATTTAGGGTGGAAGAGAAGGGAGGGTGAGAGATGCAGTCTGGGAAGTATGGAACCCAGAGAGACTCAAACGGCTTAGGCATGAGAAGCCAGGGAGAAAAGAAACTACTAAAAATCAAATTGCAGCCTGAGAGGTCTAGGAAGATGGAGGTTATCTGCACCATAAACCAGGAAACTCAGCTTTTCCATTGGGCAGTCTCTTGGCTGACTGCTTTGTGACAAACCTTCAAATCACTCAGTCTCTTCAGGCGAAATGGCTGTAGATAAGGATTTATAAAACGCTTCATTATAGGCAGGTCTTGAGGGTGCTTTAATCCATTGACAAACAGACTCTAATCTGCCAAGGCATATTTTTAAACAACAGTAGCCAAATGTTTCCTGGCCAGTTCCCTTGTGAATTAAAAAAAGGAAGGTGGCAAGAGAAAAATTAACTCGAAGGTGTTTTCTGAGGCTAAAATTGGCTAAGACCCCTTCAAGTTTGCTAAAGGAGATTGTCAAAACTTGGGACTGGTTCAAGTAAAATCCTCTCCAGGCACAGGTACCTCAGAAGAGGTCATATTTTAAGGTTGAACTTATGGAAACTCCAACTTTCTTTGCAGCGGTAGGTGGCTTTTACTGGCTTCTAGCGAGGATTCCTTTCAGTCCTGTTCTCTCCCCACCCCCATAACATAGACTCGATTTAACTTACTGAAGCCCCTTCCTTCAATCTAGTGAAAGGTACAGTGCTGGACCTTCGGAGATACAGGGCAGAGTAGGGAGTACATAAAGGGCCAAGAAACTTTAGCTCCAGAAGGTCCAGATGAGCAAAGCTCCTGACTCTACTGGGTACGCTCGTGCAGGCTGGGCACGGTGCAGTCACGCTAGAGTCATGTGGATGGCGGTGGGAAATGCACCAGCTCTATGCTGAGTCCATGCCATTGTCCAGGCAGTTGTCCTGTTCTGACCCTTTGGGGCACAAACCCAAAGTTGCCTGGCCCTTCCAGGCCTCTTTTTCCTGCCAAGAGCCGTTTCACTCACTGTTACTCTTCCTTAATCTTCTGTCACCCCGAGACCCTTTTAAAACAGCTCTCTGGCATCACAGTGACGTGGAAGAGAGTACAGGTTTCCACCCAGAAGGTCATATGTTTCGCTGACCTCTGCTTGCTCGCTGCCAGCGCAGTTGGCCTTTCTGGGCCCTCGCGACATCCTCAGGGCCAGGAGAGGCCGCCAGGTGGCGTTGCCCGAGCCCCGCGCCCGCAGCAGGTGCAGGCGACCGGGAAAGTCCGAGAGTGGGAGTCCCGGGAGCGTGGCGGCGAAGAGATCTGTCAGTGCAATTCTGGAGTTAGCGGAGCGACCTCGGGCTGCGCGGACCGCACAACGCAGCTCCTTTCCCCACTTCCCCGATGCGACGCGCTGGTCGCTCCAGGCGTGTCCGTCCCTTGCACGTCTGTCCCTTGCGTGTCTGTCCCTTGTGCGCGTGTCCCCGGACTTCAGCCGAGACCTCGGCCTGCCGCCGCCGGCACCCCGGCCGGCAACTTCCCGTAAGAGGAGGCGCTGGTGTCGTCCGCCCCACTTCCCAACCCCGAGAGGTTTCAGGGGGCCGCCCGCGCAGTGGCCCCCAACCCAAGGAAGGAAACGCGCTCCCGAGAACTCGGGCTCCTACTCACCGCGGAGCCTCTCTCGCCTTCCCCAGGGTGCCCATGGCCACCGCCGTGCTCCTGGAGCCGCCTCACCTGGCGCGACGCGACGGCTCGGCGGGATGCAGCTCATCCCCACCGCTGCCGCCGCCTGCGAGGCCCTACGCCCCAGGCCTCTTCACCTTCGGACCGCCCACCCGCCGCTCTCGAGCCGGGCGAGCCCGCTCGCCGCACACCCGCAGGCACAAACTTTATGTGCGCGCACCCTCTCGCTCTCACCCGCTCGCGCGCGCGCACTCACAATCGCCTGCACGAACCACCTGACACACACGCTGATGTTATCGGCTGTAGGAAGTGTGTGGCGCTCTTCAGCAGCTCTTCTCTGAAACCTGCCCCCAGTACTCGGTAGTACCCGGAGGCCAGCGCCTCTCGCAGTCCTCACCTTTCACCCCTGCGGGATACCTCTCCCTGCCCAAGGGTTCCGTCCGAAGGGGAGCTGGAGGGCTGGGGAGGGTCCGGGTGCACTGGATCCCACCCAACCCGCGCCTGGAGAGCAGGTGTACGCAATCAGCTTCGCTCAGCCGCTCTTGGGGGTACCCCCGGCGCCCTGCAGTGCTGCATTTCAGTCCTGGCTACTGAGGATCCCTTGTCCACTTGCAGGCCTCTTTTGTATATATCAGAGCGCAAAGCCAGGGGTGGGATAAGGAACTAATAACACAGTTGTGAATTTGTCTTAGTCTGTGCCTTTGAGTGTCTTCTTGGTAGCAGTTTGCAAGACTGGGTTGGTGTTACACGCGCTATACTCTGCAAGAGACCGCAGGTGTGGAGGTTCGCTCTGGGGGCGTGATCCATATTGGGCGAGAGACAGCTGCCTGGAGTCTGTGGGTGTAGGCGATGTGGGGAGAGGGGGACAGGGGTAGGGAGAACTATCTTACAGCAGACCTGGCCAGGAATGGTGGCCTAGTCCTGCTTGCAAGTGTTGATAACAATGATAGCTAATGCTGATTCTGTTGTGCTGAGTGCTTTCTATACATTGCCTTAATCTATCTCCCCCAAATACCGAGGTCACTATTTTAAAGATGAGAAAATTAAGGTTTAGAGAATAACATGCCTCCCATTACAAGACTAGTAAACGGCAGAGAGAACTATGACTGGGCTGAGATCTGACTCCCTGTAATCACTGCTGCACTGTTCTGATAACACACCCATTATCATCGTCACGTGCCATAACTCCAGCTACAATAACAGGCCTCTTCGCAGCCATGTTTTGGACCCTGAAGCCTCCATCCGTGACTTCATTTATACATTTCTTTATACTTGTATGTCATCTTGTCCTAAAAAAAAAAAAATCAAGATAGCTTACAAAGGTACATAACCTATAAAAGTGTGTGAAATGAAAAGTGAAAAATAAGGTACATAAAATGGAGTCAAAGTTTTTTTTTTTTTCCTAAAAGTGCACCCGATAGGTCCAATACACTTGCTACAAGCAGGACAAAAACTTGTCTCCTAGATTTCTAGTAGTCAAGTTCCAAAGGAAGCCTTATTTAAAATTCAATTCCTGTCACATGCAAGGAAAAAAAAAAAAAAAACAAAACAGGAAGAAAATTGCTGAAGAGAAGATCAATTCTTCTTGATATTGAGACCAGAAAGAAATGTCTCTAGAGAATCCCCATGAACACTGGGGTGATAGAAAGAACCAAGTCCTCAGTCAACAGCCAAATATATAGAAGGGGCATGTGAATGTTTAATAAATATTAAATAATGACACTCATCCAGACTTATACTGTATATGCATATGTATATGTGCCAAATGGATAAACATATACCTTTACGTATATGCATAATTATATATAATATGTACATGTAGATAGGCTATTTGGTGTATATACACAATACTAGGCACATATGTATAGGCAGTTGGATAGACCGATACACCTGCAGTCCATTATGTATATAAGTACAGAAATTATTAGTTCATTTAGGAAACGAGTCTTGCTGAGTTTTCTAAAGTAAGAGGCCTGCTTCTGGTCTGAAAGCTTTTTCCCCTCCAGCTTTCTGAGAGCTCAGCACTCTGCTTGCACCTGATTCTGTTTCTCTGCTCCCCCAACCTCCCACCCCGAGCTCCTTGATGAGGCTTTCTGGCTGTTCCTACTTGAGCATTTTGTCTTTTCCAGATATCTACAAAATTAGAAGTTAGCTCTATCTTTCTTCATCTTCTGCCATGTGGTTAGTCTCCCTGCCGTTGTCTAAGGCATCTTTGACCTCAAGAACAAAGTTCTTTTCTCCTGTTCTTCCTTCCTTTCGCTTTTATTTCTCTACCCTCTTTGATGGGCAGTGTCTCTGTGGCAGTTGAGAAAGGTGAGAGATCATTGTCTTCCTCTGCCCACCCTTTGGGTAAGTCACTTCTTGGGACTCTTTGTCATTCTTCTTTTCAATCAGGCATTATTAACTGATGTCCAGGACTTTTACTTGGATTTTGGTGAATACTGTGAAGCCTCTGGAATTAAAACACCTGCTTTCATCCGAGTTTCTGAATGATCCACTACTCAAATTAGGTGTTTTTGTTTCCTTCCACAACTTCAACAGGACCTATATGACTCTCATGTCTGAAATTCCAACCTTGATATCTAACAACCACATCCACATTTCCAACTGGTCACCTCCTTTAATTATGTCACAGGGCTTCCTCTCCATCTTCATGGCCACATGTTGGTCTTGGCCCCCATGATCTCAGAATCTGGACATGTGTAACAGCCTCATAACTAGGCTCCCTAATTACAGAACCTCCTCTTCTCTGATTCTTCTTTCATATTGCTTTCAGAGTTACCTGGTCATGTCATGTCTGCTTCCAAACTGCTAAGGAATCCCCAGTTGCCTACAGAATAAAGTGAAAACTTAACATTGTGCATCTTCACAGTTGCACCTTACCTGTTTAGCTTGGCCTCCAGCCATGCCCTCCCAGGCACCTGACCTCTTAGGTTACACCTTGGTCACTCCTGGTAATTGCTGTGTCCTATGCCCTTGCAAGCCTTAGTGCTTTCGCTCATGTATGTTCTTCTGCCTGCCAACTCTTTTCCACCTGGCACAGGTATGCTAAATGCATGTCACATTGGCAAGTCACTTTAGAGGGTGCACATAAGGTTGCCTCCCAGATGCAGAGGGGTGCAGACTCACCTTTTAGAATCTGCCTGATGACTGGTTGTGCTTGGAGAGCCTATTGGCTGCCACAGCTTCCACTCTGTTGTCTACCATTTATTCACTCTTTTACAGTGATATTCACTAGGTGTTTACTTAGTGTCAGATGCTGTCCTTGTCATTCAGAATCTGGTAGAGAACAAGACAGATAAGATTCTGGTTCACAGGAGCTTACATGTCTAACAAACAGTAACCAAGTCAAAAAATAAAGAAATAAGCCATGGTTTTACACCCTGATTTCCAGGAGCTGCCACTTCAGAGTTGGGTTACCCCTGCCCTCATGGGGACACCATGACATATCCCAGTTGGGGCCCCACATGGCCCTGTGAGGACAAAGCTGCCATATTTAGGGGCACACAGCTCTAGAGGAGAGTGGAGAGAGATGGAGAGGGAAAGGAGGGAGGGGATGTGACCTTTTCTCTCCTGCTGAGTGCTGCTGCTATTTCTGAGACAGGGAGAATTGGCTTCATTATTTTATGATTATGACTGGCTGCCCCACACAGCAGCACATTGACCACTGTAAGTCCCTGATGCTACTCACCGTGGACAAGGCTAGAAATTGCACATAGGAGAAGCAGCTCCTTTTGCTCGATGTCTATAGATTTGGGGCTTTTGTTTTCTTGTCCTGGGCATCATCTCCTAGATGTAGCAGTAGGCCTCTCTGGGAGTCTCTCTGCCTATGGGCCAGCTTTTCTGGAGAGTGCTCTGTCTCCTTGAGGTACCCCCAGAATTCTCCCAAGGGAATTTTATGAATGTCATATAAATTACATTTTTAGAGCATCCTACATACAGCCCCTAAATGGGACTATCCATTCTTGTTGAATAGTCATTCTTGAAGGATGCTGCCTATGTCTGTGAAATCCCTTCACAGAGCTCCCCCACTCCCAATTCATATGTATTTGTCACAGAGCCCATATTTTCAGTTAGATTGGCCTCAATATTCTTTCCAAATTTGATCAAATTTGATTCATCATTTTTTTAGGATGCTGATACAACAATTAGAAATACATGTCTTCTTATGGCTCTCACTCCTTGTGAGATAGGAGTCCCTGGAGGGATTTGAACAGACGAGAAACAGATTCTGACTTCTGTTTTACAGGGTCATTCAGACTGCTGAGTTCCAAAGAGACTCTTGAGAAGTAAGGGTAGAAGGTTCTCGGTGGAAGCAGCCTTCATAATTTCCAGCTGGATAGGTCTACCAGGTTGGTGGCTTTCAAACTCTTTTGAACATTACTCCATGGTGAGAAGAGTAAAGTCATATTTCACATTCTGTGACTCAGATATATATTTATGCTACATGTAAAACCGAAACACAAGCTATGTGAAACAATATTTGCCCTTATTACCTGTGGTTTACACTGATGCTTTCAAATCTTTTTTTTAATTTTTTTTTTTAATGACATTTAAGAATAAACGCTGGTCGGGACTCACTAAAGTAATCCATTACTGGGTTGGCATCATAGCTTATAAAGTACAGCTTTAGGTCTACCTCTCATGATAACAAGAGATCTCCATAGTTACCTCAGGAAGTGGGAACTAGGTGGCTCTGACTAGGGGGGGAATTTTACTTTTCATAGCTTCCCCTTTTGTAATTTTTATTTTTGTGTTATGTGCAAGCAACTATTCAATAAATAAATCCTATTTTGAATCATTATGGCAAAAACTTCCTGCTTTCAAATTCCAGCCCGAATGGCTTTAAAAAGCTAGAGGCTCTGGCCAACAAAGATAAGTTGCCAATGAATTTGCTTTATCAAAAAATCTCAAACAATATTTTTTCATAAATATTTGGGAGGCAGAATGGCACAGTAGTTAAAAGTGTGAGCTCTGGAGTTAAGATTGATTTTGATTTTCAGCCCTAAGCTGCCTGGTAATGTAACATTGAGTAAGCTAACTTTTCAAGGCCTCATGTTTCATGTCTGTAAAAATGGGTACAAACAAGGTCTACCTCATGGAACTTTGCTGATGATTATATGGACATGGTCTCTGCCTAGCACGTAGTAACCATGGAAGACATGTTAATGTTTTGAGTGATTACTCTGTGCCAGTTTGCAGGCATACACTGTGAGTGTTTCAGGAAACTTAAGTGCTATGTGAGCACATCTAAGTGACTCCTCCCCGAGTTCTTGGTTGATGAAGCCAACTTCTCAGCGGAAGTGAGGTGTAGGTTAAGATGTAAAGGGTGAAATCAATAGTGAGCCAAATAGAAGTGAGGAGAGGGGAGAAGTGAGTGTTTCAGAGAAAAGGAGGATGCAGAGGTCAGGAAAAGGAAGAGCAGTGTGCTTTGCTGAACTAGAAACTTAATTCTGTACCCCCACCCCAGCCAATATATAAATAAGGTCCTCTAATCTGACTTAATCTTACTGCCTTTGCAGAATCCGAGAGGCTTCACACCTTGAAGAGTCTCCCGCAGGCTCCTCAAAACCCTCACTCCACTTTAGATGAGATGCAATTAACAGCACTCCTCACGTTTGCCTTTGGGTGCTTGAGATGAGTGCAGCTGAAAAGAGGCCAGAGTTAATTAAAATTCAGCACTGGGCTTCTTTTTAAATGGCTGGCCTTGCAATCAAACAGCAGTAATTTAAATTCTAAAACTAGTTTAATAATGCAACCACTTTTAAAAAAACTCCTAGTGTGCACCCAGTACCACACTAGCATTAATGCTACTTAATAATTTAACACCTGCAAAGACACATAGTTAAAAGCTGTGGGGGTGGGGGGAGGGAACAGTTCATAGAAAGATTCAAATGGCCTGGACTAGACCAACGATGTTTTTTCCAGGTACAAAAACTGTTTAATATGTATTCAAAAAAGTACTGTGATAAGCATAGTATTGAAACGGAAGTTCCTGAGTATTAATAGATACACTTGCATGTGAGCAGTGGAGAAAAATCAGTTCAAAATTAATATAGGTGGATGCTTCTCAAACTGGGATCATCTGCTGCTGCAAAGAATTTTTTTTCTTTTAAAAGGGGTCATACTTAACTCATATTTCAGAAATACTAAACCAGGACATTTCACATGCAACTTACAAGCATTTTACCTCTTGATTTTGGCAGTAGAGTTCTAATACCCTATCTCACTCCTTTGCGCCAAAGCCCAGTCTTCCCCACCCCATATAGGGTGTAAGTATCTTTGTATTCAGTCTGATTCTTGGTCATGGGACTAGGAAGTAAAACACTTGTAGCAGCCTTAGGAAAGCATAAATTGGGATAGTTATCTTATGTTCCTCGGGCTTTAGAAATAAGAAGTGAGGCACTGTCAGCTTTACTAAGGAGAGTGTATCTTAACTCTGTGGGCATGTGCATAGATTCCCTGAGTATAGAATTTGTGTTTCACAAATAACAAAATCACACCCAAGAGAACATTATGAAAATTAGAAATGCATTGATTGAAAAATAAGACTGAAAGCTTAAATTTGCTACAGGTATCGATCAAGATTGATCTGCCGCAGTGTATAACTGGCAACTGACTCATGTTCATCCAAATGATAGCCAAAATTTACTGTAAAAGAAAAACTGTCTTTTGTAGTGTGTTGGGTTTTTTGTTGTTGTTGTTTGGTGTTTTTTGTACCTTGCATCAAACTGAGAACACTTAACTCTAAACAAAGTGTGCAGCAAGAGGGGTCTGCATTGTGGCTTCTTAAGTATGGACGGAGACCTAATGACCAACCAAGTTAGTAAACCAAGTGTTCAGTTTAACTGATTTTAAATTAAATTATTCATTGAAAAGCATGGCCCTATGTTGTGATAAATCCAGTTAGTACCCATTTATGTGTGATTTTCAAGTGCTCCAGAAGTGAGGTTTTGCTCCCGGAGGAAGGTTACTTCATGTTGGATCTTAATTTGGCCCATGCAGGTTCTACCCTGCTGTGGTTTTATTGCTTTGAGGTTGTTAGTTTGTATTTGGGTTGGGGGTGTGTAGAAATCTGGGTTAGACTTAGTATGGAAATAGATAAGTTATATATAATTGATGTTGGCAATTGTTTAAAAAATCCTCTTAAAAATCTAAGTCACTGCGACTTTTGTCCTGTACCAGCCAGAGGAAGTAAACGGGTCAAGCCAGAGGAAGTAAATGGGTCAAGCCAGAGGTAGCAGTGAAAAGTGGGAGTGGGAGAGGGTGAATTTGCCTCAGGCCCTCCTCACTTAGGACCACTCTAAACTCAGCAGGAGTGCAAGAGCCATATTTTGACATTTGTGGGCTCCTTCCTCCATAAAATTATATTAAAATATATTTTATGATTGTGTTGGCATAAAGATAAGTATAATTCAAGCTGGATTCATTATTATATGTTCATTCTTTTCATATTCATGTTTCTTCTGATTTTAAAAGGAATTAAATTAAAACATTTTTGTGGGCCCCTATAGGTACTGTGGGGTCTAGGCACCTGTACCTCCTGGATTAGTTGGTAAAATATAAAGTTCTCTTTCTTGGCCCCAGGAGAGTTTGTGGATTCTGGCTGGTGAGAAATGGTACAGAAGAAGAGGAAAGGTGCGTTTTGAAGGGGAGCTCTCTCTCTGTCCCTTTTGGATAAGCAGTGAAGAGGAATGTGAAAGATTGCCTGGAGAGCAAGAAGGTGAAAAAGGGCATGAAAAGTGAAGCCTTGCCTGGGGAGGAGACATAAACACATGACCTTTTTTAAAACTAGGGGCTATGAAGGGTCTTTCAAGACCAGAGGGGCCAGCTTAGGGGAGCTAAAAAGTAGTACTTGCTGACTGACTAGCTGTTAGCATAGTGACTAAGGAGTACTTGTCCTGTACCAGGGAATGACCTGTTGCTTCTATGTTAGACTTGGACTTGGAGCTAGCTATTAGACCCAGAGGCCCAGCCAGAAAGGACATGACAGGCCTGGGCTATTACAGAAAGTAGGCTAGACTATTGCATACAATTGGTTGTTGGCAAAAACAAACAAACAAACAAACAAACAAACAAACAAAAAATAGGCTGACTTGCATGTTAAGCTATGCTGAGCTAAAGTCTATGCTCAAACAGCCATGCTTTTTACTTTTTTCTCTGTATTTCTATTTACCCTAAATTCCTCATGATAATTATATGGGCCAACATATTGGGTAATTCCTACATGTCAAGCACTGTGCCAAGAAAGAAATCAGTATACATTATTTCATTTCATCCTCACAAAAAACTTTATGATGATTTACCATTGTTGTCTCCACTTTATAGATAAGAGATTTAAGGCTCAGAGAGGGTTAAGTAACTCACCCAGGATGCACAGCTAGTGAAAGGTGAAGCTGAGTTTCAAGTCATTGTGATTCTGGAGTGCATAGTTATCATCATTTTGCTACACTGCCTGCTCATAATATATTAGATTTTGCACCCAGAATAATTGAGCTTGTTGGATATTACCCATTAAGAAAGTCTGGGTGAGGTAAAGAGGATAAGTAATCCACACTCACTATATTGTTGATGGTCTTAATAAAGTGCTAACCTTTCAGCTGTCTTATCAACCACAAGGGACAAACCTGACCATCATAGAAGTCAAAATTTTGGTCTAGCTATAGCTACTCCTCAGCCTAGCTCAAACTATAATGATCTCTAAAACGACTTGGCCACTGGTCAGGGGAGGGAGAGCCACTGACTTAAGGCTTCTTCAGGTCCTACTCCAAGTTTTCACTTTCATTTGAAAAGTGAAAGTATAATTGTTGTCAATGTGTTATTGATATGTTGGTTGTGACTATTTTTCCTATGAATACATACCTATGATAAAGTTTAATTTATAAATTAGGCACAGTAAGAGAGCAACAACAATAAGGAATAATGAAATACAATTATAACAATACACCATGATAAAAGTTATATGAATGAGGTATCTCTCTTTCTCTCAAAATATCTTATTGTACTGTATACTCACCCTTCTTCTTGTAGTGATGTGAGATGACACAATGCCTACGTGATGTGATGAAGTGAGGTGGAATTGTCCATTTGATATTTTCAGACTGCAGTTGACCGTGGGTAACTGAAACTGCAGAAAGCAAAACGTTGGATAAAGGAGGACTACTCTATACTTTTAAAACAATTCTCATGACTGAGCTATTAATGCAATTGTACTCCAATTTCAAAATCTACTTTTAAGACGTATAAATATTTTTCTGAGGTGCAGATATAAATTCAGATGTTTGGTCTATCTATTCAAATAAGAATTATTTTGTCCAGTCCTTCAAGTTTTCATTCTGAGCTATCCCTTCCTGGAACATTCCAGAAACCCAATGTTCTCAGCATCTTCCTAACTGTTACCCTACTGAGCCTGTTTACAGCTTCTGATGCAAATCTGAGCGCTGAAGAAAAAGGATCTCATACTTGCCTTGCTCTCAATACAGGGCAAATCACATGCTAGGAAGTTCCGATTCAGCAGTGCTGCTTTTCTTCCTTGTCTCCAGCCTCTCAGGAAGACTCACAGGTGACACACAGACTTCTACTTCCTGCCATTTCGTCAATGTCTCACTTTTCCTTTTACTCTTCCAGGACATTCCGGGAGCACTTTTTATTTTATCTTTTACTTAAAATGATGCGTGGCAACTCTGCCAGCTCCAAGTGTGCATAACAAATACTGTCCTCACAAACACTGGAGTACACGAAGGAAGGGTCAGATGGCCAACTATCCAGGATGCCTATAAAACAGACAGGGGACTAGAGATAAGGAAATAAATGGAGATGCAGCAAGTAGGATAGCTCATCTACTTTCTAGCTTCTGTTACAAAGAAGCAGCAATAGGTCCCAGTTCCTAAAAAATTATTTAACTATGTCTCACCCTACCCATCCTCTGGGGAAAAATTTTCCCCCTGCTCAGACTTGTGCTTTTGTCTTCATCACTTGGGGCCAGAAGTTTGAGCTGCCTAAGATAGATAACCATCTTAATATTTTTTACACCATAACTTTACTAAGCTTGTGGATATCCCAAACATTGGATAGGCTTCTGAGTCAGTGGTGGCTTTCAATTCAAATCCTCCAGGCTCAATGTTTTCGGCAGATGCCGTTCTTTCCAAACAGTAAGTCACTGTTGAGTGAGATGAATAGGACCAGAGCTAAAGAAAATTAAGGTTTCAAAAGACCGTCTAAAACAAAAGTCCTTTCAGTCCCTGGTATTCAGAGTTTCATCCCTCACTGAACCAAGGCTGCTCATTTTACAGGGAGAAAGCACACAAAACTGTGCTGCTGGAATGCAAGGCACTTGGATCAGGAGGTCAGCCACCATCGAAGGATATGAAGTGGTCATTGCTTAGTATAAAGTTTATCTGGAAGGAAAAGAAATAGGTAACCTTTTCCTGTCTTATTTGTACTCACTCCCATTTTGTATTTCATGAGGGGCTTGGCTGTAGTTATAGGTAACAATCAAACAGAAAATCATTCTAGTTTACTAGTTTCCTTCTTCCCTATGTCTGTTTTTTTCGTTTTGTTTTGTTTTTGTTTTTTACTTCTTTTGAAAGCTGTTGAGGTCTAGTTGTTTCTTAAGAAGGTTCAACTCATCTAGAGGACTCATTGTGTTGTGGACCTCAGGAAGTGAATCCTGTTCTGGGCATGGCCTGGAAGGCCCAGCACTCTGAGGCCTCCATGGACCCTATGGACATTTAAAGATGGACTGGTTCCCTGGGGGAGAATTCTGGTTGGGAGAGTTCCCTAGAAATATGTTAGACTGACCCTTCACGACCAGGAACTGTCTAAAACAGAGCAGTTCCAGACTTTCGGGGTTGAGAAGAGGGAAATCCCAAACCTTCCTGAATTTCAGTAGACAGGTGGTTCCTCTTAGTTCGCAGAGGACTTTCCACCCCTGTTCTTTGTTCATGACTCACACGAGTCTTTCCCAAAGCACAGAATTAAGTGACTTGTCTTGTCCCACAGGATGAGTCATTAATAAGTTGAAAATTGCATCATGTCTTCAAAGTCTAGCTTGGCTTCTTGACCAAAACATTACTGAGTCTTTCTTGAAAAGATTATGTCACAGGCAGTAAAATATCTGTCTTTTCCTTTCTTCATCTCATTTGTTTCCTGGTTTCTAGCAGATATTATCTGAAATGTCTGATTAGCTTTGGTAAGTGATCAACATTACACAATTTTATTTTTATATACTCCCTCTCTGCTGAGTTATTTTGTTTCATTAAAAAAGGCAGAAATCCATGGAATAAAACATAAATAAAATGACATATCAAAATTGCCTATATCCTAGAAATCATCCCCACCGCAACCCTTACTCTGTGCTGTACCTGGTCTTTAGGGAAGCAAGTACTTTATACTTAAGAGCACTTTTATTGTTGACCTTGAATATGTCACTTGTGATTTTTAATGAGGGAATTGTATATGTAAACTGAAAATATACATACATTTCTATTATAATTTTAATGTGTTAAAAATCTTCTGAATTTCTAACTTGTTTTGCTGAGAAAAAAATTCCTAAGAATATCGATCAGAAATCTGATGAATTTCTGGAAGGGCCATATGGTCTCAGAGGTTTGCTTAGTCATCTCTCCTCTCCTTCCCTGGAGCTGCCCCAGCCAGGAAACTCATAAACTAGTTTCAACAGGGGTAGGGCCTGAAGAGGGGACAGGAGCTGTCAGACTTTGAGTTGTGCAGAGTTTTCTTCAGCTTTGAAGTAAACATTTAGCGTTAGGTTGTCAGTTTAACTCTCTTTTTTTGCTTAACACATTAGACAAATCACTCACTTCTGAAATCTTGGTCAGTGGTGCTCTAGTTGGTAGCATCTATGATAATGTTCACTTCACTTAATTTTGACTGAACTCCGTGCTCTTCAATTAGATAAGTGATATACTAAAGCATCATTAATCCTAACTCAACACTTTCAGAGATTAGTAATTCCAGAGGTATGACATGAAGCTTACCATTTTTAAAATACATATATGAAGAAACTGTTTATTAAGCCTAAGCATACGATTGTAAGAGTAAATAGTTAACTTGCTAGAAGAAAACTATCTTTGAAGATGCCAATACTTTTTGAACACTGCTACTGCTAATTACAGAGCAGTTTGACAAAGTAGATTGAGCAGCATTCTAAAAGAATCTTCAATTAATATATGTCCTGTGAAGTTAAAAATAAACACAAAATTCCATATCTAGATATTCTATAGATGAGACAAAACAAAATGAAACCATGCCATTGGCCTTCTTCACATCAATTGGTTTAAACTTGAGAAATTTAACTCGATGTCATAATGTTATAAAGTTTGAAGTGACTTTTAAGCCCATGACTTTTTGAGCGCAATCTAAGAATCTCTGGCTTTTAAGTGTGATCTTCAAATATGTGAGTCTAAGGTGTATGTGTTTGTATGTGTCTGAGTGTGTGCACCATGCAGGGGTGTGTGCTATGATGATAAATTTCAGTGCCAAAAGAATTTAAGAAGCAGACCCAGGGCAATGATTAAGGGCAATAGAATAGACTTACATGGAAAAGGGAGAAAAATCATATCAGAATTTTGAATTTAAGTAAAAGCAAGAAAGAGAGACTTCACAGCAAGAAAAACAAAGGGGGAAGAGGCTAGCATAACTGCATCATAAATATCAAGGTCTTAAATATCAAGAATAAGAAATAAAACCCATCATAAATATCAAGAATAAGAAATAAAACCCATCTGAATAGAATTTCTGAGGTAGATGGTTCTTTTCACATTTGCATGATGTTTATATTTGGGAATAATAAATGAGTTTTGAGGTTTGTGTCTTAGAACAAGAGATCTGTATTCTATTCCTGACTCTGGCAGTGAGTAAAAAAATTCAATCCAATTTAACCAACCTTTAGGGAGAACAGATATGCAAAGCTCTCCAGGAGCTTTTAGTCTAGTTAGTAGAGTCTTTCCTACTCAGCCCTTTGATGCCTACAAATTGCCTAACTCCTCTGAGGCTGACTTTAAAATGACAGATGCAGACAGCACATGTCTGCTTTCTCTTCGTCTTGTACTGACTGTGGTGCTCTGAGGATAGATGGACACTCTCCAAAAACAAGTATTTTTGCGGATGTCAAGTGTTCCTTGTCCACAGCAATGACTCCTTTCCACATGATTTGGAATTTTCTGTTTTCAGATATTATTTGACACTTCATAGTTCCAAAGCCATTTCAATAGAGCCAGCCTGCCCATTCATCTCTCACTGGTGTTTCTGCTTATCCACCTTGGAGAAAGCGGTGCTGACAAGGCAAGGCAAAGTCTTTCTCAGCAGCTTGTGGACAGGGGCTTCGGAGAAACTTTCTCTTTTCAGGATACAAGCATTGTGAATCAAGTGGACAGATACCAAAATGATATCATCAGTTTCCTCCAAACAAAAATAGTTCCTCACTCACTGGCTTCAAGGCCTGGAATTCCTATAGTAAGAAACTTTGACATTCAAAGTTCCCTTTGAAAGGCCATACTAGTTGTCCTTTGTGAAGCA